TATATTACTATATTACCCATAGGCTGAATACATTCTGTAGCAAGGCAGTCTGGGCATCCATGCGTGCAGTGCCCAGCTTCAGCCTAGTGGCAGCTTTTTTGCGAAACTGATGGAACTGCCGGCCCTTAAAAAATGATGGCCCAACTTAGTTGCACAAAGTAGCAATACTGAATATATACTGTACGTGGCAACTGGCTAGTGGTTGGAGATCGGCAACTGCTCCAGCAATAGAACAGCTGTTGCAAAACTAAGAACTTTGCTCCGTACGGTGTAGCTCATTATCTAACCTGAGTTGAGCGGCTGTGGCCAAGCCACAAGGGGCGTTTGGAGCTGGACATGGTACACAATCCAACATGTTGTCATGCTATAGATGTCCTATCCCACGCTGCTTGGACCAATTCTCGGCGCACACACGACAGCTGTGACCAGTTTAGTGGGTCAAACCTCTGGGCCTCTAGGTGCCAGGCTTTTCCTGAAGTTGGTCCATAGCCGACGAATGGACAGCGACCTGGCCTCAGCACAAAAATCATGGTCATGATTAAGACTTTATCTTTCTGTTGAACTTGGCTGCGTGAAATATCATCTGTCCAAAGTTTCTGTGGGCTTTGATCTAATTCAATCTCCTCAAGTACACCGGTTCCTGATCGAACATGTAATGGGCAAAAATAAATGACCGCAGTGTTCTTCTCAAAGCTGGTGCAATGCCTTTTTCAATTGCAATGCCTTGCCTTCATTCTCTAGCTGAAGGGTCTCATCATCTTACTTCAGCTTCTTCTTTCAGCTTCTTCTGGTCTCATTGGCCTCTCCCGGGTCAAGGCATTTTGCTGGGGATCAAGGCGTTGGAGCTCCACCATGGTCTCCGACATCGGCATGAGCCGAGCCTGGAGATAACATCTCAATCTCCCAGATCTCAAAGAACCAAAGGGTGAGCCATCTGGATCTGCTCAGCTTGCAGAATTGTAAATTTGAGGGCCAGCAAAGTGCCACTGACGTGTCGCAGTGACTCCAAGGTGCCAGCATCTAGAAGGCCTGGCCTAAGTGAGATGTAGTGACACCGCTCTGGAGGTCTTTCTGCTTCGTTTTGAGTGTCAATGATTAACTTTCTCCGCCCTTCCCCTTCAGCTGCTTCTGGTGAGCAATCCGAGCCGCAACACGCATGGCATTTATGGCTGCACACGTCATACCCAAGGCGGTAGTCTAATGGCACCCCTCTCCAAGCTCAGGACACGATGCGCGAGACATGTTCATCAACTTGAAGGCCCACCCAAGCACGGAGCCTTGTACTGACTTCATGCCATGTTCAAAGCTATCAGTCTCAATATTGGGTTCTGACTTCAAGCGCGAGGCTTTGCTCGGAGGCCACAGGCAGCGTACAAACAACGCCCACGCACAAGGCTACTCTCTCAAAAGGCATTCGGCGTCGGTGTCGGTATTTATTCACTTGCGGAAGTTTGGGTGTGACTCGGGGTCCAGTAATTATGCCTTAATTAGGCCGTGTTGTTTTTTGATGCGAAAGGCATATGCCACTTGATGACAATTGCAGCTAGTGCTTTTTCTCTCGCTGTGTTTGTTTTTGATAAGAGAAGGAGCGCGAATGGACTTTGAAAATGGTTGTATGGACTGTTAGACCTGGAAGCCATCGCTATTAGGTGCTACTAGGGGCTATTAGCAAAAGGAACCTACATAGCAATAGCCTCCAACATACTAGCGTCCTTGCTCCCAGTAGCGATGCCCTTTGCTCCTACTAGCTTCTTGCTTCTAGTAGTAAGGCCAGGAGCCCCTAGTAGCGTCCTTGCTCCTAGTTAGACCTAGTGATCAACTAATCGAGTTGGCTGGGCCGCCGGCTGGGCACCATATTGGCGGTGGGAGTAAGTGGCCCATTCGTCCAGCTGAGCCTCACAGAACGAGGCAATTGCCTCCTGTTTGATCCTTGAGGTGCTACAAACACATTTAGCCTGTACATATATATATATATATATACAAATTAAACATTATATATTATATACACATTGCAAACATCACACATACAATCAACACATCAAATTATTCTACAAATGCCGACGCTGCCCCTGTTTGACTTGTATCTGAGAAATTCTGAGAACCTGTGTTGCAGGGTTTGACTTCAACAGGTGACTGCATACTTGAGTTTGACAAAGTCTTTCTGCTGCTGGTATTGCACCTCCACAGTGGCCCGATCGCTAGCATCATCCCTGCACTGCAATGACACGGCTTCATGGAAGCTCCCCCCTGCAGTTAACGATTCGCCTCGCCATGCTTGATCAGTTCAATACAGGTTTGATCAGTTTATAATAGTTTATATACATAATCAATCCAAATCCTCAATGCAGACCCATACATATCGCAAACAGTGTCTAATTTAATATGTGCTTTGTATCAAGGAGCTCCGGTGTCCGATCAGCAAACAAGCAGAAGCCAAAGTATTGTCTTTTTGCAGATCGATTGGCGCCCTGCTCAAAACCGAGCATGGAACCTTCCAACTGTTCTAAAGTCAAAGAGAAGCTGAACAAGTTCCGTCCCTGGTGACAGGGCTTCGGTGCAAACATTCTGGAAATGCCTCCAACTCAGTAATTAGTGCTTACGGCTTCCAATCATCACACAAACAATTCACGGAGCAGTAGACCACCTCGGAGCGCAAGCAACGGAAGGGCCTTTTCTCTAGAGGAGATCCTCTCTCCAAAAACTCCTCAGCTGGCACAGGAGGAGGTTTCCGCTCTTGGTCCTTGGGACGGTTGGCTTCTGCCATCTTTTGCAATCCTGACAGGGGAGCGGTCTCGAACCGGTCGAACCGGCACCGCAGTTGCCCAGCTCCTTGTCCAGTCTTGGAACAAAATCAACATATGTAATGCATACTGTAATGTACTACAATGCATGAAGGACAATACTAGCAATGAAGAACATCTTCAACCCGGCCCAGCACAACCATGTATGACCCAGCCCTGCCTGCCACCCATTCGTTGTGACTTGGAATAGGTCGCCACCTTGCCAGCCCTGGCTCTACCCTTGGAGGTCCCTGCCGGAAGCTTGGCAGTCCAGGCAATGGCTCTGCTTTGCCCTTTCCTGTTCGCGGCAGCGTCTTGGGATCTTTCGCTGGCGGCTGAAGTTCTCCATCTTCCCCAACCTCCAGCAATTCAGCTCCAACCACCTCCCGATTCACGTTGAAACTGAAGTTCCAATGCGTCGGCTTACGGGTTTCCTTCTGGCTTCTGGGTTTTTGCCGAGAAACGGGCCCTGTCACATCCTCCCGGAAGGACTGGTTTTGGATGCTCTCAAAGGCCTCGCTGCGCTTTTGGGCAGCAGAACTGGCCTCAAAAAGCCATGGGCTCGAGCAGCTGGAGCTCGGCGTCTGCTGGCTGCCATCGTTCACCTTCTCGGGCCTTTCTTTTTCAGGTTCAAAACATGGGACTCTTTGTGATTCTTCGGCCTCCTGGTCCATCTGAGCAAGTATCTCATCCAAGGCAGGCACAGAGCGGCGTCCATCTGACTCGCTCCTGCGTGACCGATGCGGCAAGCTGGGTTCTCCTCGTATCTGTACACCTTTCTCAAGGAGCAGCTGGGTGAAACTGCTCATCTCTGCTCCGACATGGGCTACAGCTGCAACAATGCCTGAACAGTTCGTTCCTTTTATTGCTAGCAAGGAAGGTCGAGCTCAAATCTATTTGGTTTTGTAATGGTTTGTATGGATTTGTTACATGCCTCGTTGCAGGTTCGCCCCACTGCTTTGTTTTCTGTGTAACTTCATAATGATGGCACACTCTTAGCTCGCTTGAGCACAAAAAATATATGATGTCTTGTCATCTTGTCTAATTAGGACAATGTTCACACAACATGGATGCAATATGATGCAACGGCGGCATTTCTCCGTCGTAAACCCACAACTTGACGACCACTGGTCTCTGCAAGAATCCACTCACCAATAAGGCCAGAAATACTGTGAAAAGCCACGTGGAGCCCCTCTAAGTGCAACCCGCTCAACTGCAAAACACGCCACAACACGCTGGCCCAAGTGCCTGGAATGAAAGGTCGACGGCTCCATGGTGCTCTGCTAGGCTGCTTCACTCAGTTTGAGGATTCTTCGGGTCAGGTTTGGTGGACGGGTGATCCTGAAACATTGTGTCAAAGCCGCGTAGGCGGGTAGCTTAGCAAGTGTGGAACAATGGAACAATTACCATAATTACCTTATAACTATATATACAGTACTTGAATTTATCATGCACCTTATCCTTCCACAAGTGTGCATGCAAGCTCTTACAGTCTCGGCAAGAATCGGCTGCATGCGCACTGAAACGCCTTTGCCATGTGCACTGCGGCTAAGTCACGTGTGACCATTGCACTTAAAGTTTCCTATAGGTTTACTCCGTCAGTAGTATAGGGATTGAAACATATTGAAACGAAGGTCTACTGAGTCTACCGAGTACAAGACGAGTTAACACGAGGACTGAGAGTGTTGCAATGGTGTGCGGATCTCTCATGGGCAGCATGGGTTCCCGCGGGTATGTTTTTCGACCGTACATCACCTAATTTGCGAGGTCCCTGTTCTGTGCAATACCTGAAAAGGGAGTGGCGCGTGTTTGACGAGGTGTTCCAGCATAGATGGCATAGGGACTCTCAAGAAATGCAAAAACGACAAGCCGTTCTGAATATGGGCCAGTGGAATCATGTAACCAAAGCATCAGTCTATCAAAGGCCTTGCGCAACCCATTTCGACATCAATAAGACCAACGAACCTTGCAATCCCAATAGGCCTTGTCGGTGTTTCATGCTTGTTAAATGACTGTTTGACAGTTTATGTCATTTCTGGTGCGGCTCGTGGACTCGATGGGAGCTCTCCTGGACAGCTCTCAAACACCTTAACTACCCCTGAATCTGATTCACTGTGTCATCCGCATGCATTTCCGTCATCATTGAGTTCTTTATCAAACAAGACCTATCCAGCATCAGCTCACGGCCAACTGCTCTGTTGAGTCCCATCCCTGGATTTTTTCTTCCGTCTTTTCATGACCTTCTTGGCCCTTTGGGCAGCCCCTTTGGTGAGGGCGATGCCGGTGACCCTGGAGGGGCCGGCTTCCGGAACCAAACCTGGCGGCACCAGTTCGGAGGATTGGTCGTTGAGCTACCAACTGGATGCTAAAAGCTACCAATTCAAAGCACCAAACCCGAGAGTCTATGCAATATGAGAGAGGCTATGAGTTGAACAGCGATTTTGAAGGATGATGTAGCTATGGATATCTATGGATTATATAATTCACTTGTTGCCAAAGAAAGCCGGTGTGCAGGCCCAAACCTCGTCAAGATCATCGGTTCCTATCCTGTCAGCACGGCCAAAAAGTTGAAGTTGGACCTTCTATATAATTTGCAATCATCAATGTCAGAATTCAATGCCAATGAGAACATTAGCTGCCAAGTGCTTGGTTGCCAAAAAACATCGAGGCAACATGAGGCAACTGACTTGTAATGACTCTGGACTTTCAAACCGGCTTGTGCTGGTCTGAATGCTACCTCCCTTTTGCTTACCAATTGCCTTCACGCTGGTGAAGTCCATGTTGCTTCACTCTAGTCTAGCTTTGCATGAAACGAGGGCCAATGGCGGACTGAGGTTTCCACTCCAAATCGCCCGCTTCCTGATGTCACCCAGAGATGAGGGGGGTCGGAAGACGCCATGGCTTAACAAACATGACAAACCTCATGAGCTTTGGGATTCGTGGGCTGCTGTTTCACACCGTTGCGAGATTGAGCTCTGCTTGTCTATCCTCTGATCGCTCCGATCATGGTAGCAGTTCATCAAATTGCTCCGACACCTCAATCCTCAAACCTCTCATCTCAACTCTTGATAAGATCAGCACTGATTTTCGGCGATATCCCCAGAAGCACCCTGGCCAGTTCACCCGCTTCACCACCCAAACTGGTCCGTCTCAAAACAGGAGGCCGACGACTAACTAGTTGGAATGGCCGGCATTTCATCACCCAGTCTTACCGATTGGGTTGCGGCTGAACGTCCAGCCAGGTGTACTTTATCTATTGTTGTAGCTACAACCTCAAGAGGCAAACAAACAATATAGCTATGAAAACGCCACTTGTTCACCAATCCCTAAGCTTTTCATTCTACGCCGGGCATGTGAGGGCCCCACAAAATGCGTACAATGCGCTGACTCAAGCTCTCACCAAGTGAATGCAAACTAATAGGAACTGGTAGGGTAACGCGCGCCAGCTGCACCACACGTCAGAATGACCAGTGATGCGATTAACCCGGCCAGGACCTTCACCATTGCATGCACAGTCACATCTATTCTCACTCTGCATGTGGCGTATGTTCGTGTACAGTATATACTGGTTGCTGCTCCATTTGCTGACTAAAAGCATACATTAGAAGCTCAACTCTAAATGTTGGACGGGATCCACAATAAACAATACATCCAAAGTGCCCACAATCACAAAATCTAATGTGAAGAAGGGCTTCAAAGTCTATGGACTTTCTGCAATATGCCCATAGACAAATCCTCCGGGTTCAGAATTGGCTTCGGCTTACCTGTGAAATACCGACTGGGCCCACAAAACCTCCCTCAGGGCCCCACAAAGATACGTTGGCCTTGGTAGCACGAAGGCCGTGCTGGCAGCATATTCTACGGTGCTCACACCATATTCATGTTGATCTGCGGAGTGGGATATTGAGCCATGGCTCAAGAGCAAGTGCAATGTCCCGCCGCCATCCGACGCTTGGGTCACTGGCATCAACTACAGGTAGAAAGCAGCAAGAACTTGGGATAGGACGGCTGATGTCAAGCAAAAGCCTGGTGACTGCCCGCAGGTTGAATTGAATTAGGCAGAAGAAAAACGTGTATCTGTATGTAGGATGACGGAGATGCAAGGAAGGGAACCAAGAAATCAGATCTGTCAACGCCAAGGTAAAAGCGAGAGTCACACTTGTATGTGAAGTGCTTCCTCTGGAAAGCATCAAGTGAAAGCACAGGAACATCCAAGAGAATTACACCGGTATTCCAAACACAGAACTTGAACAAGGGCAAGTGAATTAAACAACACAAAATGAAAAAATATGAAAAACACATGCATGAACAAACCATTAGGTCCTCCTGGGTCCCAGTCCTGTCAAACCAAGAGCACTCGTGGCATGAGGCATCGATCTGGTTGGTCTGATTGGTGGAGTTTCGCCCACCTGGCTGCTAGACTTTGGTGATGTTGCGTGTGAACTGCTTGTTTGTTGCAGCACTTCGGTAAAATCATTGTCCTGCCCCGTCCCTGTCTTCTCAATGAGTTCCTCTATTTCCAATGTCTCGTTCAAAGGACCCCCTTGTTCGATCCCAATCACCACCAATGCCGTGGACCTCGAAGATCCTGATCCGCTCGGTTCATGGCCTGATCCACGACCGGCAGGATCATCCGATCAACGAGTCATCACGAGTTCATGGCGTCGAGTTCGCTCGGCGTTTGCTTCGCTCTGAACGAAGAAGCTGGTGAGAAAAAGTCCCCAAAATACAGCTCAAGACGAGCGGTGTGCGCCGAGCGTTGGCCTCGAAGAGTCTGTGCTCCGCCACTCGTTCTGCTGTAGCCTCAGCAGAAAGAAGAGTCATCTAAAATCATCTAAAGAACAAGCGGGGGTCAATATCCTTGTTTGCCGTACATACACTGTATACATATATAATCATATATATATAACTGTTCATGCACTTCCTTGAAGGTTGACTGCATTGCGCAGCCCTTTTTGTTGAGAGGGCCTGATGGCCTTGAAGACCTCCCGTGAAAGAGGAGCCCCAACCAAAGAAGCGTTGAAAGAGAGCAGCGGGTCTGCTTTGTGCATTTGGTTTGGGAACGTGTGTTTTCGGTCATGTCCGCAAAAGGGTTTCAACAGGTTATGAGCCCAAAGCAAGCTACTTCTGCACCACCCCCGAGCTCGTGCATGCTTCGCCGCCGCCGAGCGATGGAGCATGGCCCTTCGCTTGCTCTCCCTCCACCAGAAGAGGATGCTGCAAGAGCCTCTGCAGAGGAGGCTGGAAAGGTGAAGGAAAGAGAAGGGGTGGAAAAGGATGAAAAATATGAAAAGGGTTTGATGACACCCACAAGGTCTACGACAGGACCACCGGGTTCCGCAACAGGGCCCACTACGGAGATGGAAGTGTTTCGTAGTGGTGGGTCCAAGCCCAGTGCAAAAGGTTCGACTGAGCATCCAAAAGGTCGGCCGGTGACTTTGGCACCCCTGGTTCCTTTGCAGCAGCAAATGGCACCGCTGTTCACGAAGGAGCAGATGAAAGAGTCAAGAGCTGCCGCCCGTCTTGCACCTCAGGTGTTTGGAAAGGCACCGCCTCCATCGTCCTCTGAAGAGCAGTTGGAGCTCCTTCAACGACATGCATTCCTTCAAGAAGAGGAAGAAAGGTTTGGAGGAAAGAAGAAGGCCCAAGGGGGCTATGAGGAGGACGAAAGTGAAGAGCTCAGGCGATGTGAAGATGAGGATTCTGAAGAAGATCAAGGCCGCCGTCGAAGCCGCCTTCAAGAAGAGAAGGAAGAAGAGATCATGTGGCGATGGCAGATCTCACAAGATATGAAGAAGCTGACAAGCCTATGTCAGGATCAACAACGTGAAAATGATCGCCTTCAACAAGAGCTCTATGAATGGAGGTTGGAGGATGCAGAAAGGAAAAGACAAGAAGAAGATAAGAAAAAGAAAAGGAGAAAGAGGAAGGTCATGTGCCCCGAAGTTCATCGACGTTCAACACTCCTGAAGAAGCGAAGCCCGAAGCTCCCAGCGTCTTGGAAATGTTGGGGAGCAGGGGACGCACTCCATGGTCTACCTACCCAGCTAGGTATGGAAAGGGGTCGAGATCTCAATCCAAGGACCCACCTCGAAAAGGAAGAAGTCCTTCGTATGGAAAGGGGTTCAAGGAGGATCCAAGATCGACTGCCCAAAGGCCTACAATGGGGGGAGCCAAACCTTCGCCAGAGATCCAGCAAATGGAGGTCATGGGATTGCTCGTTGAAAGCATGAAGGCCCTTCAACGCCAGATTTCTGAAGGGCATGAAAGTCAAGGCACCATCAAAGGTGTTGAAGTGGTGAGACAAGTTGCAGAGCTCCCGGCTTTGGGGAGTATCCAAGGCAGCACCTCACAGCTCCAGCTTGGAGATTGGCTTCTACTTGTTCAACCGGTTGTAGCCGACCTCACTGCTACATCGGATTTGTGGTGGGAAAAGATGATGGTTGAAGTTGAACGATGGTACCAAGATCATCAAGCTATGCCACCACTAGATCGTGTTCAGCATGAGCCCAGAGCGATCTCCTGGGCTCGAGCCCGCCAGCGAAGCCACCTTCGAAGGCTGACCACCGTCTCGTGGAGGTTGCTCGGCTCATTCGGCTCTTCAAGGTTCCTCAACAACATTTGTTTTTCACTCACACCTCCAGGGCAGTAGGACAAGTGGAGGTGCGCCAAGATTGCAAACACCGACAGGCGTTTTGTTGCGACCAGTTCATCACGCTGGCCTTCAGGAATCGCTTTGAGCAGCAAGGTGGCCATCCTCCTTTCCAACTTCGACATTCAAAGAAGCTGGGCGGGGCAACAGAGCCTGATCCCTCCATCCTGGTCAAAGGCCTCAACAAGTTGACCAAGAAGACTTTGGAAGCCAATGAAGGGCTTCGGTTTCGGGTCTCGTTGGCCAGGAACTCACTTCAAGTTGACACCAATCCAACGCCGGTCTCGGTCTCCCAGTTCGCCACCCATCTCATTGCTGAGATTGACCAGCTCGCCCTCGCCGAAAAGAGAAGTGCAGGAGCAGGTGGAGGAAAGAAGGAGGACGCTAAGGTGAAGAAGTTGGATGAAGGTGGAATGAAGAAAGGAAAGAATGTTGAAGGAAAAATCAAAGAAATGGAGGTCAAGCAGCCCTGCAAGTTCTTCCTCACCGACTCGGGATGTCGCCGCGGAAAGGACTGTAGATGGTCCCATGATCTCAAAGATGATCAACGGAGATGCTACTCCTGCGGCTCCAACAAGCATCTCGCTCCGAATTGCCCCACCAAGGATCCAGCGAATCCTACATCCTCTACGTCCCCACCTAAGGTGAAGAAGGAAAAGGAGGATGAGAAGGGAAGAAAGGAGGAGGATGAGAAGAGTGCAGGAGGAACAGAAAGCGAAAAGATGGATGAGCTGTTGGAAGAAGCGAACAAGATGCTCCGGATGATGAAAGACAAAGAAACATCGGAGGCAAAGATGAACAAGCTTCACCAACAGCTGGATGAGATTAAAAGGAGCATCAAAACCCTGAAGCTCACAAAGGTCCGGGAAGCGAAAATGGGGTCTAAGAAAGAAGAAGAATGGGGCTTGCTCGATTCGGGAGCAACTCACCCTCTCAGGCCTCTCGCCCTGACCGACTGTGTTGACAGTCTGAAGAAAGTGTCAGTGTCGTTGGCTGACGGCCGGACCACGCCATTGCTGATGACGGAAGCTGGAGTGATGGTCTCCACCAATTTGGCTGTAGAGCCAATTGTGCCACTCGGCATCTTGGCGGGATGTGGGTGCAGCATTTCGTGGAAAAAGAACGGCGTGAAGGTGACTCACCCGAAGAAAGGTCTTCTTCCAATCAGCATTCAAGCTGGATGCCCACAGATTCCAAAGGTTTTGGCCCTCGAGCTCATCAAGGAGTATGAAGAAAAGGGTCACCGATGTCAAACAAGCTCGGCTTGTGGAAGTAACACATCCAAAAAGGGAGGTGGAGTGGCTGTCTTCGCTGGTTGAAGGTCACCCAACCTTGTCCATGCTGCCGGACTCCATCAAGAAGTCCCTGATCCAACAGCCGGGGGAGTGGAAAGACTTGCCTGCAAACCGGCATCAAAGAATAAAAGGACCGGATAACCCCACATGATAAGTTTTACAAATTTCAATTGTATATGAACATCACATGGGAGACGGAGTAGTGAGATGAAAAGTCAAGAACGAAGTGTTAGGAGAGAAGGTATATGAGGCGGTTGTGCTAAGACGTGTAGTATAAGTGATGATGTGATGGACGAGGATGAGAAGGAGGGGAGGGAGGAGGTGTGTGTGTGTGGTAAGATGGCGCGCGTGTGTGTGTGTGTGTGTGGGTGTGTGATAAAGTGTCTGATGATGTGATGAACAAGGATGAGAGGGACGAGAGAGAGAGAGAGAAGGAGGCGGAGAGAGAAGTTTGGAGGCTCTGGATTTTGCGATCAGATCCGCATGAGACCTTCAAAACGTAACACACTCGAAACGACCATCAAAGCTATCAAGTGGTCTTATCCCGACCACGGCGGGCAGTGCTAGCAGGATGTAAAGTGGAGTGAGTGAGTGGAGTGAGTGGGTGGAGTGAGTGAGTGAGTGAGTGGAGTGAGTGGAGTGAGTGAGTGGAGTGAGTGGAGTGAGTGGAGTGGAGTGAGTGGAGTGAGTGGAGTGAGTGGAGTGAGTGGAGTGA